AGTTGTAGATTTAATTAGTATTGTAAGAGCAATTTTGCATTTTAGAATTACTTTTGAATTGTTTGGTGATATAGTTTGTTATTCCTCCCAGGCAAATTACTAACATACATATAGTGCATTAGTGAGATGGTGATGTTATATCTGTTATGTTATTACCATACATCACTGCGATAAAAAACAATTGGACACTTTTGTTTTAAAGCGCAAAAAGCAATTTGAGTAACAGAATATACCGCGGGAAAATAATACAAAATATATCCTTTTTCTGGATTTATTTCAAAAACAATGAAACTTAATAATAAACTAGTTGATTTTAAGATAAATTTTTAATATCGATTGACTTGAAAATGAAATTTTACAATTATTTTTGTATGTTAAAAAAATATAAGTTATAAAAAAATCTTCGTTTTATAATTGTCATTTAGAAGGTATTTGTGGTTCAACATTGCATTGCGAAATAGCTATTACGCATACAAGAGTTACATATATTTTATACGTTACATCTCAAAAGTGACTACTAACGAGAGTTGTCATGGATGCCATCATCATATTAAACCACACAGACCCTTGGAGACTGGATTCCCGCTATCAGGAGAGCTTCTTAAGAGAGGAGAACAAAACTTACCATTACAATACTAGCTTGTCAGCGTATTAAGGTAGTAAACCTTCAAGTTTTCATTCTTTTGTGCGGGAGAATTATTCTTCATTCCCATAAGCTCTACCTTGGAATAAAAAGGAATGCTGCTACCTTGTATTTTTATATATGATTTATATGAACGAATGGCTTTGTAGTTTATGTATAAATTCAATTAGACTAACACGGATTATACTGTAATCCTAATTGGATTGTTACTTAATGCAATATAATATCTATCAATCTTCACACTAGTCCCTTAGTACACAGAGAGCATATAATGTAATATTAAATAAAAAAAAAAAAAAATAACTCTGCTGTTTTCTTTCCTTGCTATAATTAACAATTTTATTTAATTAAACAATTTTTTTTTCTATAGATATATTTCCTCCTGTAAGAAAGAGACTTATTTGTATTATTATTATGTATCTTTTTTACCTTATTTACATGTATTTATGTGCGAATAAGGTTTTTTAATTTTCTCTGGAATAAAATGTGGTGCATTAAAATATTTGAATTGAAGCTGTGTTGTTTTATCATAAAATAATGGGGAAAGCCGAGCTTTCGTTTGATATATGAAGAATATATATAAATATCACCTTACAATTTTTTTTTAAATGAAACAAGATTAAGAGGAACAACAAGAAAGTTACTCATTATTACATCAGATACCTGCCAATAAAAGTTCCGCCAAAATCGGTCCAACTATTTCAGAGATTAGCCGGAACAAACAGACAGACAGACAAAAATTGTAAAAAATGTTATTTTGGTGTATGTACCGTATATATATTCATATACATGTAGTAAAAAACGGTTATTTCAATGTTACAAACAGATATTCCAATTTTATTTATATGTATAGATTAAATGCTAGTTAAATTTGATGTCAAACTAACTTCAGTAAATAGTGAGGCTAGTTTACACCACCAGTAAGGCATACATTTGAGGAGTTATTAGTTTGGTTTGAAAGCAAGTCCTCACCGACCGCAGTATGCGTTGCGGCCGCGTCGTACATTACCCCCGTCGAGATGGATAGCCCCAGGGAGCTACGAAGCTGTTTTTGAATAGTTAAGCTTTAATTTTGAAGTGTATTCACATTTCAAAATTGTGAATTCATTATAAAAGGAATTAGTACTCGTATATTTAGTATCACTAGGAAGAATTAATCTTTGCAACCAAGAATTAAATTTTTATATGTGATCGTTAGTATGCATGAGACATTAGTATATAATCATAATAAATACTAAGAAGTCTTTAAAATTATTTTCAATTAGCAGTTTTCTGTGGATTTCCTACCGTAAATAACTAAATTAAGGCATCTAATCTATGTTTTAAGTTAGTATATAACCTGCCCGTGCCCTGATTTAATTAAAATCTATTCAGCTTTTTAAGTTTTCACATTATTATATTAGTAGGATTAAAAAATTGCATTGAAGTGATAGGGCTACTTTGGGTGTTTAAACATAGTATATACAAACGCTTAATCCCCTAAAATAACTTCTATAAAGATTGTTCTCTTGTCTTCTTTCGAAAGTTAAAATAGGTATTGAAAATATAAATTATATTTCATAGCAATTAATGAAATATAATAAGTAACAATTAAATAAAATAGTCTTATCTATAGAGTGTAGATGTTTGTTACTTAATTGGCTGAACAGTTGTAGATAAAATTTGATAAACGCGTAGACCAACTCCTAAATTAACACGTAGGGTACTTTTTTATTCTAAGTCACGCGAGCTACGCCGCGGGATACAGTTAGTTACCAATAAATTTTGTGAAGGTACGTAAACGTGGAATAGACAAAAACAGTAAATTTAACAGCAACAATAACGAATGATCGGTTGAATTACCGTTCGTTTAGCCGCAGTAAGTTTCGTGGAAATAATGTGAACGTTTATGTAGCGTAACTATTTTTTTTAAGTTTATTCTTGTATTGTACTCGTTAAATTAATATATTATACATTTTAAGTGATTAATAAATGTATTTAGCCTTAGCGTGGGTCATTGTGCTTCTACAATGGACTTTGCAAATTAATTTACATTAAAAAATATAAGTTATGTTGATAATGTATTTAAGAACGTTTATATAATAAAAATATTACCTATATGCTATTTTATAAATTGCAGTGAATTTATAAATTGATTACATGGTTATTTTATCTAAAGTTGTCCTGCACAAATGTTGAAATAGATTTTTTAGATAGATAATAATTCTAATTTAACTTGACTTTAGTAGATTTGAGTAGTGATGGTATTTTTTAACTAAGTGTGATTTATAAAATCTACTCTATTTATGTTAACTAAAACTCTTGATAATTTTTAGTTAGGCTTGTATTTTATTAAGAGTGTAAATAATCTATATAGCCTATGGTAGATATTAGTCTTTAGTACTGTATAATAAATACATAGTCATAGAAATTAGTTAGTATTCTTTATCTTTTAAGGGAAGTATTACAATGCTACTATTTAATAAATAAAAGGAATTCTTGTATGGAGTTTCCGTGGTAAAGAAGCGGCGTCCGCATCCAAGTAACGTATCGTGCAAACTATAAAAGGAATCTCGATGCAGAAACCGCGCTATCCTTTGTTCCTGTAGTTGTTTCACACCTACTTAGGCGTAAGGGCTCGTTACCTTAGATTGAAGGCTCGCGGTCGACGCCCGGGCTTTGATCCTGAATTATAAAGCATTGGAATGCCATATTTATTTATGTTGAGAGTTATTGTTTCTTTGAAGTGATAATCCAGTGTTTCGAAATTTTGTATGTTCAGTCGATTTTATTTTAATATTTATAATTGATTACCTATTTCACGCAGTTTTGTCTACGTGAAATAGAATATATTTTATGCATTAAGGATACAATCATATATCGGTACAAATTTCTTTCAAATTCTTTCAGCTGTTTAGCGCAATTAAGTAATAGACAACTAAACATTTTTATAAACTTTCAAGTCGCATTTTTTATATAAGTAGGATCGTTTATTTTGTTTATTTATCACATCAAATGGATCTTCCAATACAAGGATTACCCAGGAATTATATTGTATTTGTATAGTATTAAATTTACTTTATATTATATAAAGTAATAAAGTGTAAAGTAAGTATAGATTTGTATAGTAAGTAAAAATATTAAAATGTTTTGATAACATTATCAATAGAAATATTATAATCCAAAATAATATAAAGTAGTTATTTATATATGTGCATAATTAAGTATTTTGGATTATAATATTCTTATTTTCTCGAAAGAAATTTTTATACATATTTCGAGAAATATGTGTAAGAAAATATGATTACCTGGCAGCATATAGAGCATCAATATAAGTATCTATACCAGAATTACAATATTGTATTTATTAAAACATTTGGTTTGATCAACTCAGGACGTTATAATTTTAGTGACTAGAATTTATTTTTATTGTTTGTTGTTGTAAAGTTTATACTTGTACATGCCACTAAGTTACTTTTCTTTCTTTCTCTATAATATTAGATAGTAGATACTTCTTAATAGTCTAAGGGGATATTATATTGTAAAAAGATATTTCAATGACTTAGAGATTATATCTAAATTAATTTATTATTACTACTTTTTCTATCAGTCAAATATTTTATTAAATTTTGTTTTGTTAAGTACTGTAGTGATGTATTTTTTTAATTACAGCATTTATTTTAGATTATACTTTAGAGTTATACTGTAAAATATACATTAAATCATAAATATTGATAGTTTAATATACCCCATGGTATGTGTAAGGTAGAGTACCGTTTTAAATTAACAGACATTAAAAGTAAACTTAAAGTTTATTTATAGTTAAGCTCATGTTATTATCAAATAACTTTATTTTAGAAATAGAACAGTATAAAAATAAAAAGAATTACTTTTATATCAGGTTTTTAAAAACAAGCAATAATAAAAATTGCTTTATTTTTATAGAAATAAACAAACGTTATATATATATATATATATATATATATATATATATATATATATATATATATATATATGAGCATGTATGACAGAAACAAATAGATATTAGCAAACAAATTTTAAACTTTCATATAAACTGCGATTTAGAATCAAAGGTTAAAATCTTTTTTAATATTATAAATATATTTAATATCACTAATTATATATTATCTATTTTCCTTCATTTGACAAGTAAAATATTATTGATACAACTTCTAATCAGTATTTCAATGTCTAATGTTGTCATTGTATAATGTCTAAGATTTCTGATGTATCGATCCGTGATGATAATTTTTATGGTCACGAATATGCATGATAACTGTATTTTTAGTTATACAAATATAAAGCTATCATTTTGTTATGTTAGGTAAAAAAGGTAAACAATAAAACTTTGTATAAATTAATTTCATACTTTTTAATTTTTCAATTATCACTTTTGACACAGTCAGCTTTTCAAAATCTTTACAATAAATATTGTCTTTCGCTTAAGACTAAAATACAAAATATACATTGATGGGAAACTACACAATGCTTACTAGTACTAGTTTTATCACAGATAGTGGCAACACTGCCTTAATATTAAATAGGGCAAATTTTGCCTCTAAAACAGACCTGCATATAGGCCTACAACAATTTATAATATCAATAATAGAATTATATAAAATACATGTTTCTGTCAAAATTATATTGGCAAATTAATGGAATTCAAATACAGCATTAATGCATATGTATTTAAAAGAAATTAGTGACGATGAATTTATTTAGATTCTAAATATTTACATACTTATACCTTTATAATTAATTTGTTTATATACAATACATACGTTATGAGACTAGCCATCACAATTTCAAACGGAACAGACACTTTCATAAGAGTTTAGTTTTTCACTTCACTGAATTATTTTTTAGAGTTTTACTGCACACTTATTATGTTTTATGTTTATCTATACGTGGACGGACATTGTACGAGGGGATGCACGAGGAGGTACTTGATGTGAAGTGTGGGAAGGATGTGGTGGTAAAACAGGGTGAGCACCGTGAACCGGTGGCGGTGGTAGCGCACCCAGATGGTTTCTTGGATGGTGATGTCTGTGCATGGCAACACCACCACCAGATACTGGACTGGGTACATCACGACACCGTTGATTACTAGACACGTCCGGTAGAGCAAATCTCAGCTTTTCCCAGAACCACTTATCACTCGTATGCAAATATGTATTGGTCTTCAAATACAGTCTTATATCTGGATCGAGATCTTTTTGAGGCACATCACCTAATAATACAACTATCAGTCTTCTTCGTCTATCTCTCAATACTTGATGATGAGCAGATTTGAACTCACAATGACACCACTCGGATCTTAGGAAATTTTCACTGAGAACCATTATTGTACGACGCGAGGATTCGACGGCTTGCATTATGTTCTCTGCAGCGTAACCACCCACGGGGAAGTCGCGATAATGTAAGCACAGTTTATATGACGGTTCACCGCGCTCTAGTATCGGTACTAGTTTCTCTGCAACCCATGCTTCATCTTTAGAACTGTAACTTACGAATGCATCGAACATTTTTTCACGACCATCTAAGTCTATGTCACTTGGTCTGTAGAACAGTCTCACTCCAAATTTAGAATGGAACCACACTCTCATTTCTTGACGGAATATGAAAACAATCATGCTTATAAACGACACCAATAAGAATGCTCCTAGAGTAGCAACAAGTAAAGGTATGTAATCTTGTATTTCATCATTTCTTATTATAGTTTTAGTTGCAGTTAAATTACCATTGATGCTGTTATTTATATTTGGAAGACCAGTACATATTGTTCCATTTTCATTGATAATATTAAAGCCGGATCCTGAATCACTGAACATACTCTCGTTATATATAGCAATATCTGTGCTGTTACTTTTAGCATATATGCATCTAAGATTTGATATATCTGTAATAGAACTGACGCGTTTTGCCCACTCTCGGAACATTTCTGTGTATTCACAATCACATGACCATGGATTATAGGATAAAGTTATTTCAGTTATAGCATTATTAATTTGCCATACTGATAGCGTAACTAGTCTATTATGATGAAGATGTAAAATTTTGAGACGTGACATGTGGTTAAACATTTCTTTCCCGATGTATTTAATTTTATTATGATTTATGTAAAGTTCACGTAAGTTCTCTAATCCATTAAATTCTTGTCCTTCAATCTGTTCAATACTATTGTAATCTAAGTGAAGTATTTCGAGTTCTTTTAATCCATTAAATGTTCTGTTGTGAATTGTTTCTATGTTTGATGAATTTAAGTATAGTATTTTCAGTCTTTTTCTGCCGATGAATGCGTGACTTGGAAGCATTTTAATATCATTACCATCAAGGTACAGTTGCGTGGCCTCCATTGGTATTCTTTCGGGTAAATTGTTCACATAACCAGCATTAGAGCACTCCACAACATTGGCCGACCACGACTGATCATGGTAACAAGTGCAGTTATTTGGGCATGTCATTTCACAATCACAAGCATCAAAATCACAACAGTGGCATAGTGCGAAACAGTGAAATTCATATTTACATAAAAACTGATGTGGTGCGGCTTCTACTAAAGCAACATATGCATTACCACGGTTATAAAGTAATTTGCAATTTATACTATCTAAATCCATTAGCTTTGGTTGTGTTCTGGCTCTGTTTCCTGTATTAATTTTTTGTAACCACTCCATTGTGCAGTCACATTCCAATGGATTTCCACCTATGAAAAATTCGGGTACTGTTTTATCTTGTGGTACTGCAGATATTCTCAAAGAATTCGGATCTAGACTTGTTATTTTATTTCCATACAAGTCTACTCGTGTTAAATTCGGTTTCTTGAAAAATGTATACGATTGGACTTTTGAAATTAAATTATCATTTAAATATAACATTTCTACAGAATTTGGTATCGCACTGCCTGTTATTTCCGTTAATCTATTAGAACTAGCATCAAACGTACTCAGAGATAGTTGTGATTCAATTTCAAAGTAATTTCCAAGTTCAGCAATCCTATTAGCATGAATGTCAAGCCACTGCAATCCAGTTGGAATCATAGCATAATCAAACCATCCTAATCGATTATCTGATATATTTAACCATACCAAGTTAGGTAACTTAGCAAATAATCCTCCAATATCTGTTAAATAATTTCCATCTAAACGTATAGCTTGCAAATTGATGTTAGAATCAAATGCGCCAGATTCTATTTTATGAATTTTATTTCGAGACAAATTCAGAATTTTTAAAGAAGTCATTTTATCAAAGACTCCTTTGCTTATATTTCCAATATTATTTTCTGTAAGTCTCAAACCATACATTTGTTGCATTGCTATAAATGATGCATTTTCAATGCTGACAATTAAGTTTTCTCCTAAGTCTAAAGTTTTCAATTGAGGAATTTCTTTTAATGCAATGGGAACTTCATCAAGTCTATTTCCATTTATATGCAGATCTTGTAAAGAAGAACAGTTACGTAGAGCATGTGGATGTATCTTTGAAATACGATTACTATCAATAGAAAGTACAGTCAGTACTTGCAAGCCCATAAATGCATAACTTTCAATTGTAGTCAATCTATTATTTGATAAAATTAATGTGTGTAAATTGCTCAGCGAGCTGAATACGTTTTCTGGAATATGTTCAATAAAATTTTCTTGCATTTTTAATATTTGTAAATTATGTAAATCTCTGAACAATGCTATTTCCATTTTTGATACGCGATTGTGTGAAAAATCCAAATAGACTAATCGTTTTAGGCCAGTAAATGTAGAGGTATTTATCCAGTCTGAAGTTAATTCATTCCACGATAAATCCAAAACAAGAAGTTGAAATAAGTCACTAAATAAACCTGGTGCTAAAACTGTGATAGTATTATTATTTAAATATATTTCTTTCAAGTCTTTAGTATCACTAAATAGTTCCGGAGGCAAGCTTGTTAGTTGATTGTCCGAAAAACGTATAGTTGTTAATGAAGTAAGGCCTTCCAGTGCTCTATCTGCAATAGAATTTAAACCATTTCCCTGAAAATATAATTTTTGCAATCTTCTCAGTCCAGACAATAAATTTGGTGGTAAGGTATCAATAATATTTCTAGAGAGATCTAACACCAATAAATTATCTCCACATTTCTCGGTTGGGTGACGATGTGCAGATGAGAATTGAAAGTGACTTATATCCCTCATTCTATTTCCTGTCATATTCAGATATTCCAGGTTTCTTAAAGAACAGAGTGCTCCTTCGGGAAACACCAACATATTGTTTTCACTTAGATCCAATCTTTCTAAATTTTGCACATCTCTAGAGAATGCGGTTGAAGTTATTTCAAGTGACATACTAGACCAATCTGTGTTATGCGTTCTAATCGTTAAATTTCTAAGTTCGCGTAACCCCGTGAATGCGCCGTCTGAAAGATTGCCTATTTTGCAGTATTCAATTGTTAATTCTCGTAGTTCTATTAATTGTCGAAAACTACCAGGGGAGAGTGAGCTTTGAAAGAATAGCGCATCACTGCATTCCAGCCGCAACCTTACTGTAAGATGAGGTTGTATTGCACTAAAGTTTGTATTTTCTAGTTCACTGTTTATAGTTCTTAATCTGCATTGCAAGGCAACTCCTGAACCCTCATCGTCTGTAGTCCATCGGCATTCATCGGGAGCTTGATATCGGGCTCCCGTGGTTGCCGATAATGATGCACACAGAGCCGATAAAGTGGCACTTAGCACCAAAAAGGTGCTTGTTAACCACGCCGGACACATTGTTTTGTATTCACTAACTTCACTTATTACATAGTTTTATCTTCTGTCAACTTGCACTAAAATCGCACGAAAACATCGCACCGACAACGCACATTAGTTCATTTGTATTGCCGCAAATCTCGAGTACTTCACTAGTTGAACCGGCCACTTAACTCGTTTCTCGCGAGAACACTAATTGGACAGGATCGTGCGGATACCACTGCTCGTCCGTGTGAACGGAACGACGCACGCTCGCGCAGCGGTCTGGGGTGGAACTGACTACAATTCGAACCTGCGGTGCGCTCGCGCACAAGGCCGCGCCGGTTCACGCGTTCCAACAGGTAAATTCACGCCCGGGATTAAAACGTTCTAACTGCCATGATCGTTGCCGTATGTTTCGCTCTATCCGTTTCGTGGTAAAGCTTGTCAGAAAAATACGTTCTACACACACTAAGAAGAAATACACACAACACTACAGACTGAAACCGCTTTTTGTAGCTCGTTTAAGCTTTTACGTGGTATGTGCGAAAGAGACGGTGGAATAGTTGCGGGGTAAGAAGCAACTTGGTGGGGTTTCGAGGCAGCTGGCCAGGTAGTGCTCAGGCGCATTGCCATAGTCGCTCTACTTGTTAACACTCCCGTTGATAATATTGTATTGCAGATATTTGACGATTGTTGACATTTTGTTTATTCACTGTAAATAACTAACTAATGTATTTATTAATAGAGACGGTAAATGTTATAAATTGGATTACTTACAAAATTGATACATACATTAAACGTTGGATTTATATTAAATATTTCTTAAAATGTTGTAAAAAATGTCAATTGATTTTTGTTTATTAGATACAAGATATAAGGTAAATATTACCTACTCAATGTTGCTTTCGCATGATTTGTTTCTTTTGTGAATTTTATCTGTACGTAGAAATAGTAGAAGTACTTATGATTACGATATGATAAGATACTTCGAAAATATCTAAAATAGAAGTGGTGTAAATCTTATCTTAAAAAGCAGGAGATTGTCAGTAATAATAAAGTTGCAAATCTCCTGTCAAATTATGTGGTTCTTATGTTACCGAATTATTTGACTTTCAAAATTACAATATATTATTTTATTCAACAATAAATCAGAAATCATTATTATTGTAGTGGTTAAATAATGGTAGTTTAATTGAGATAAACCTTATACTTTATTTTATTAATGAGATTAAGTTATGATATGATAATGCAAATATAACGATTTCTTAAGTATAGAAAAATAATAATTAAATTTGTTAGTACTATTGTTGCAATTAACTCATTCTTGAGGAATAATATAAAAAAGTTTTTATTATAGGACCGTAATATATTTACAATTATGAGTAGTATCACAATTAGTAATTCCATTTTAAATTGTACATTATATTAAGTCGCTTAATATATTGAATCACTTTTATATTAGGTATATTATTTTAATGAAGTCTTTTAACATTAGAAGAGTAAGAGGAAAACTTGTTTCAATATTGAATGATACATGGGGGAGAATGGCGATGAAAACTTTCTATCGTATCAAAAACTAGTATTAAATAATTGGATGATGTGGATTCATCATAAATTGTGTTTCGTTGTTGAAAAAATATTACATGCGTTGCACACGCGATGCTCCCATGTTGAATCACTAAATTGCACTCTGGGAATTCATAACCTACATTTAGTTAAACGATTTTGATACAAATTTCCTAATATTCAACAACAAACCGCTCATCAAATTAAACATCTGCACATTATGATACCAATTTAAAACCGTTTGATTAAATAAATGATGCTCAATTTGAAATTTTATTTCTCTTATTAGGTATAATATTCAAGAGCAGTTGTTTGATATTAACTTAGTTATTAAATATATTTGTGATGCATGTAACCTTTGTAGTTCCGTTTGAAGGTGAATTTGTGTACCCTTTATATTTGAAGAAGATGCAGACAATAAGGCATGATCTAGAGAGGGTTATATTTCACACCTGTTGTTTGAATGCAAAAAATGAGTACGTGTCATAAACGAAGTTCACCTATAAGCAAATTTACCTGCGCAAGCTGATTGTTGCGGCTTTTGCGGTGTCAATGTAATAACAAATTGCATAACCTTTTATTTCTAAAAACTTAGTATTTGCTTCATAAATTGGTTCAAGAGTACATGAATTTTTAAATCAATTTTTATCTAATCTCATAGGTATCTCGACTCGCGCCGAAACTGTTGCAACGACTATCATCTGGATCGAATGATGAGTACCAGAATGATTGATTTAATCAGCTAATACAAGCGTCAAGTGGAATTTTGTTTACGACATTAATATTAAAAAAAAAAAACACATACATTTCATACGCAGTTTTTGCTATAAAATAACCAATTGTCTTAGTAGTTTGTTTACAGTAGTTAAATTACTTTAAAGAAGAGATTCTCAATTTGACAATATTTTTGTGTGTATATTATGTACATCTTCGTTAATTATGAATCAATTTTGTTAATTTTGCAATCGATTCCCATGTTTAATAATTGTTTCTATTGAAATTGCTGTTTTTTGCAAAGCAATCTTAATTTTACAAGGCACATATAGAGTCTTTAGTATAGTTCAGTGTAATAAATAGTAATCATAATTTCATTTGGTGTCGAGATGATAGGAGGACGGTTGGCGCGTCCGTCGTGCGGCACTATTTATGCGAGGTGTTGCTGGCCCGATCCCGAGGCGCCTTCTATATCTCAATTGCAATAAATTATCTCCTTTGACATGCAAGAAGCGGAAAATTTGCAATCATACAACTCGGGACTATAGCATTCGCGTCCCTCCTCCTTTATGTAAACAGCGCAAATGGCTTTGTAATGGGAATCGCGTCCGTCCCGCTATGACACCGGCTCAATATTTCACACCGGCTCCCACGGCTCGTTTGTCCACATTGCCTTAGGAGCGACCCGCACAAAAGACCAGCGGGTGATCTCTCCTTCGACTTTTTGTCGTAAGTGGCCAGGCGTTTCTTGTCCTGTCCCTATATGAAAATAGATTGCCGGTAAATCGTGGGTTATTGTGGCGCTATTTAATATATATTTGGGGGCTATACTATGGCCGTTATAACAAAATGCTCGTATTCAATTTACTGTTGTTGATGTCGACACGCAACTGTCGGGGTGCTTGCTAAGTTGCATGGTACATGTGTGTGATGTGGGTTAGTTGCCTTTGTGATTCATGGTACAGTCTAAAATAGGATTGAATGAAACTTTATTGTTTCGCATAACGACGTGAATTATCTTGAACTCACTGTACATCACCGTACCACTTTTAGTGTACCGTTTTGAATAAAAGCAATAATAGGTACAAATTAGAGTATTTTTCGTATTTTCGGTTACTTTTCTGTTACTACTTATTAAGATGTCTATATTACCTTACTAATTGGCTGTTATTTTTCAAACTAATATTTAGGTCATGTTTTCTAAATATGTAGGTATAGGTACTTGCTAATTATAGTGATATACATGAAAAAATGTTTAGCACTTATTTAAATATCACGAACAATTATTAAAATTATTTCTACTTGGATATACAATCTAAAAATAAAATTATATAATTTACAACAAAACCTAATCAATATTTTTTAAATATTTTGTAATAAGTTATTGAGAATTAGGGAATAAGATAATATACCTGTATGTCAAAATGAATATTCTATTGAATATTCTATGAATATTCTGACATACAGGTATATTTATATATGAATAGAGATAAAATTATAGAATGATAAATGTCCTACATCATCAGTAACAACATGTAAGCCATCGATTTTAATACGTTTTATCGACTGAATCCATCGGTGTGTGAAACCATTCCGTTGATTTCCATTATAATATTAATTTTTGTAATTTCGTTACCTAATCTCCGGCGACAGGCCCGATACTGACGCGACACTTATCTCGATGTCGGCGGACATATATAATCCATTAAGTCGTCATTTCCACACGGCTGATCATTCCTCAACCACGCGTCAACTCGCCCCCGGTCCGTCGCGCGCCGTATTGTTCGCTACTGCTTTATCTCTGTACCACCGCACAAAGTCCTTTTCAATTAGCACTATCGAAACCAATGTGGACCTTAAAACAATATCCTCAACGCATATAACCCTTTAATACCGTGACCCCCGAAGGTTTATCCTTGTCGACTAATGGACTAGTTTGTTATCTAATCGGGTACACGGCGGACCTATTAATAATTTCCCACATAATTTTCTAATTAACGTCCTGTCCGGTGAACGGGCGGAGCCTCTGTACACGAAAACGGAAATGACGTTAAATTGGGGTTACATAAGTGTAATAAATTATCAACACGAGTTCTTGTCGCTATGAATTTGCTATTAATATTTATAATATTTGTTTTTGTTTCAGGTAATGAATGTCTGCAATGAACTGAACTTTCTATGGAAACGGTACGTGCCGTCAGAGGCGGCTTAGATACTTTTTAAATCAAACGTCAGCCGTGAGTATTAGGTCGTTGTTGTGTAATTTTAGTATATGTAAATAATAGAAAATAGTTTTACCGTTACTGAATTGAAAAATTAATTTTTGTATCTCATGTTCTATCTATTTTCATTTTTTCTGGTTTGATTTTGAACTTTAAAATATACAGTATATTTTTAATCTATGGAACCTTTATAAAAAAGTTTGTAATAAATGAAGCATCACTATCGATACGCATTACATTTTACCCCGAAACTTCGGAATTACGTTTCATGGTAGAACCCCGGATTGAGAATGAGGTGGAAAATAAATCGTAATGTGCGTTCTAACTACTAAGTGTTGTACAAGCAGGTTCACTCTACCGGGTTAAATTGTAGCGTGTAAATTGAAGAGATTTTACACGTGAGCAGAGGCCTTAGTAGTGCGTCAGATCGCGACACGGGCAATTTGGCGCGAGAGAGCTAACTCGGGTTTATTTGTTCGCTGCGGCACCTGGCGATTCTGGGCGTACTGGGTGTCGAATATAAATTACGTGGAGTCGATAATAGTACATTAATATAGTGTAATTCATACGACAAGTACGCTGTTTATAAATGAAAGATAGAGTTAATTTAAGATAAATTAAAGATATGTTACATTTGATATATCGATAGACATGTAGGTATTAATTTATTTGAAGCAAAAATACTGATACTAAAAAATAAAGGTATTGCTCTACCACTAGATTCTTGTTCTAAATCATTATATTTTTATAAATATCAGATAAATCTTGAATTATAAATATTTTTTATTTATAATGTGGAATACATATTTTGATAAACAATCGCTTTTCATTTAAGAGTTTCCTATTGTCGG